GGAACATTGACTCATTATTTGGAGAAAAATAAAACTGGACCCCCAGCCAGCACAACATACAAAGGTGAATCCAAATGGACTAATGAGCTTGTGCAAAAATTAGGGAGAAGATTTTTGCATCGATTAAAACTGATCAGGGGCTAACCTCTAGGACATACCACAAGTGCTTGAAATCAACAAGAAAAAGACAGGAACCCCAATGGGGAAATGAGCAGGGTTTATAATAAAAGTGAACCCAAGAAGCTAACAGGCAGATGAAGAGATAGTCAATAATTTTAAAATCTTTTTTACCTTCAGAGGACTTATTTTATAATCACATCTCTATAGCACCTCAATTTTTGCCTTTTCTTGAATACAGGGTGAAGAGACCCTGACCTAGGACCCTGGAGGGACTTGGGGTGTAGCTGCCAAGGCCTCCACAACCTAGAACTGAACACCTTGAGACTACCAGAGACTAGCAAACTCTTGTTAAGCCACCAGGTGGCGCTCTACCCATCCCTAGCTCAGAAAGCTCATGAAAGATTCTCTGGAAGGGTATGGCTCAGAGTAATAAAAACCAGCCATTTTTTGTAATTGCCAACTAGAATGAACAAACTGTCCCCCTAACTATGTAAGGTGGGGGAGCCAGAAATTATGCTTTTGTTGGGGTCCTCAGGAAGAATTCCTTTTGCTCCTCTGGGGAAGCCTAGAGAACACTGGATATCCTACAGGACACAGGACACAGGACACGGTTACTGGAGTTTCCTGGCCCGTGAGCAGTTAGAATTAGCATGAGTGGTTGCAGAGGAGCAAGTCTGGGGTTTAGGGAGTGGAAAAGGGGAGAAAAGTGGCTGCTTTATTGAAAATCTTTGTGTGGCTGGGTGTGCCTCCCACCAGCTCTGGTCTTGGTTTCTGGAATCTCAGAGCACTGCAGTGAAGGTTTCAGAAAGCGGGGTCATGTCTTTGAGGTATCAGGCTGCATTCACCCGCCTGTGGAACAGGGGTTAGTCTCCAGGTGAGGCAGAGGCTGTCGCCCCCATATGAGTGTCTTTGCTTGGCGGGAGTTCTCTGCTTTAGGAATTCTCCTCAGTTCCTGTGAGCTGGCAGGCTGGGCAGGCCAGGGTGTGCCAGGAGCCTTCCCCACCAATGAGGGATGGCAGTTGGTGAATAAACTCCCCAGCCTCCTCACCTTGAGAAGTGCATTTCCCCCCAGTTATTATTTTTTTATTAAACAACTATTACAGATGTTCCCCATTCCATAACCTCCACCCAGCTCCTACCCCCTTTCCTCTGGCCTTCACCACACATAGTCCATGGCAATGCATATATGTTCTTTGGCTAATCTCTACACCTTCTTTTATATGGTTGGGGGATGAATTTTGAGGGGTATTCCCATAGTCCCTCAGATCCAGTTGTCCATGGGAGCAACCAGCTTTATCTAAATACACTATTGCTTCCTTCCCTTTGCCACCTTTCCCTCTCTCCAGCTTCCTGGGCTCTCCTTCCAAATAAACTCCTTGCACCTGCAGGGAAGCAAAATTTGCCATCCTAAAGTGTGTCTTTCTGGCATGAGGATTATTTTACTTTTAAGAAACAAAGGACTCAAGAAGAACCTTTGATTGGTCAGTTCCAGGGCAGGGGGTCATTAGTCAATGCAGCTGGACCTGGCATTACCCACCTGGTTTTGCTGCTTTTCTGGGCCTGGAGCTGAAATACAACTGAGACCATGACCCTGAAAGGGCACACCTGGGAAAGCTGATGAATATTCTATTGAATCCTCCCCTAAGACCTTCCCTAAACTCCCAGCCTTTAAGGCCCCCCCTTTGTCCCCCCGACAAACGAAGGTCCCAGGAGCATACCTGTGCCTTTCCTGTCTTCTTCCCTACACCTGTGCATCTTAAACCAGTGATGGCGAACCTTTTGAGCTCGGCGTGCCAGCATTTTGAAAAACCCTAACTAATTCTGGTGCCGTGTCACATATAGAAATTTTTTGATATTTGCAACCATAGTAAAACAAAGACTTATATTTTTGATATTTATTTTATATATTTAAATGCCATTTAACAAAGAAAAATCAACCAAAAAAATGAGTTCGCATGTCAGAGGTTCGCCATCCCTGTCCTAAACTCTAAGGGACTCCAGGAGACTTGCAACCAGGGGAGCAATGGGCAGTGGCAGCTCATCCTAGGCCCGTGGTTGGCAAACTGCGGCTCGAGAGCCATATGTGGCTCTTTGGCCTCTTGAGTGTGGCTCTTCCAAAGCCTTAGGAGTACCCTAATTAAATTAATAACAATGTACCTACCTATATAGTTTAAGTTTAAAAAATTTGGCTCTCAAAAGAAATTTCAATTGTTGTACTGTTGATATTTGGCTCTGTTGACTAATGAGTTTGCTGACCACGGCTCTAACCCACTGAACCTGTCTCCAAGGCCTCCTTTGTTGCTTCTTCTATCCTAAGCCATTCCTGTTTCACTGTCCCCAGCTTCAATAAACATAATCTCAAAAACAACACACACACAACGAAGAACCTTTGACCTCCCCCCTACTCCCTTACTGCCTAAAATAATTTAGCTAGAGGCCTGCCCCTGGAAGGGAGCTCTCCTCATAGATACTAGTATCTGTAGTGTAATCTGAACTAGGTGTGGGGCCTAGGCTTTAGAGACGGTCTCCCACTCTCTGCATGGCCCAGCACACATTTGTTTACCAAAAATTTGCTTTTCCATCTCCCTGTGAATTGTCTTCCTCCCCTTTAAAGTCCTCAAACACTACCCACTTCACCTTAGCTCAAGACAGCATATAAGCCTCAACTGCCCTGTCTGTCCTTGGCACCATATTCTTATGGAACCTCCTTACATTTGTACATAATTGAATTGGATTATTTTCTCCTTTAATCAGTCTCATGTCAATTTAATTCTTAGACCAGCCAGAAGAACCCAGAAGGATAGGAGAAAGTTTTTCCTCCCTTACACACCCAAATTTTAGTCTTCTGGATTTTCTTTTAGGTAATTCAAATGAAGAAGAGAGCAAGAATTTTAGGTACATTTGATGAGCAGCTTAGATGTTTTCAGAGTTCAGGTAATAGAGAAAAAAATAGAAGAAGCAGATGGGGAAAAAGGACCCCAATAAACCTCCAAACACTGTGAGCTACTCTGACTTTTAATTAAAAAAATATATATTTAATTGATTTCAGAAAGGAAGGGAGAGGGAGAGAAAGAGAGACATTAATGATGAGAGAGAATCATTGATTGGCTGCCTCCTGCACGCTCCCTACTGGGGATTGAGCCCGAAACCTGGGCATGTGCCCTTGACCAGAATTGAACCGGGGACCATTCAGTCCACAGGTTGACACTCTATCCACTGAGCAAAACTGGCTAGGGCTGACTTTTAACTTTTACCTGCAGTAGTTTTAAGAATCCCTTGTTGAAAAAACCAGTTGATTTGGTTGTACAGCGCTTTCAAAACTATTTTGAAGGCAATCACTGTGAATGAGAAATTCAGGCTTGAATTTTTCAGTTGCCTCCAGTTCTGTCTTGTGAATAGAGAACCCACCTTGCCTCAGCTACCACCCGAGGTACAAGCCTAGCTTATAAAATATTAATTGGGTGATATTCTTTCTCCAGATCTCTTAATGGCTTCTGACATTTTAATGGTAACATTTTGGATGCGCACAAAGTAAAGAGAGCGGAAACCCGAGGGACCACTCGTCCTCTATTTACATTTCAGAACCTCCCAATGTATGCTTTGGGATGCATTCTGCACCTAGCTCAGGCAAGCCTCTGAGCAAACTGCGTTGAAAGAGGTTAATGATGGGTTTGTGTAAGTTGCTCTTGTTTTATTGAGGTCCCCAGAAATGCAAGTGTCAGCACAAAGATCGTTTATGGTTCCATTAAATCTCCAGGAAAAATATCAAGACAGTTGTAAAAAAAGAAAAACAAGGCTGGATGAGTCAGCCTAAACAAATTAAGAGCCAATTTGAGGCTAAACTTGGAACAAGCCAGGAGCCACTCCATTCTCCAGCATTTGGTTGCATGATTATGAACCTTGCTCTTTCATCCCCTCTCTCTCCCTCTCTCTTTTTGGGGGTGGGGGCAGATTTTGGTTCCTAATTTCTAGTGACTTGTCACTCTCATGTCTAAATCTTCTGTAAAGATGAAATTGTTAAATGTCCTTCCTATGGAACTTAGTCAAAAGGTTCTCGGTAGAATATATTTCCTTGAGGATGAGATGCATTGTGCAAAACCGAAAACAACAACAACAAAAGAACCATTTTGAAGATTCTGAGTGTGTTTATAGTAATCCATGCACATCTCCTATATTCTACAGGCTTTGTTTGAGTCTCATTAAGATTTTTCTGACACGGACACGAAAGAGTACAGACAATACAATTCCATTTACGTAAAGTTTAAAAACTGGCACTAGCCAATGTTTGCTGTTAGAAATCAGGATTGTGATTATTCTTGTGTGCATACATAGCAACTGGGAGGAGACACAAGGAGGGCTTTTGGGTGCTGGTAATGCTTTGTTTCTTGGCCAGTTTGTAAAACTCCATTGAGCTACATGTGTGTGACCTGTGCACCTTTCTGTATTTCTATTACACCTAAATAAAAAATTTAAACACGTTAAAAAATATGTATGTATTTTTTTTTCACTTTTGTTAAACTCCACGTCTCAGATCTCCTGCCACAGTGGGAGTTTTTTAAAAAATATATTTTATTGATTTTTTACAGAGAGGAAGGGAGAAGGATAGAGAGCTAGAAACATCAATGAGAGAGAAACATCGATCAGCTGCCTCCTGCACACCCCCTACTGGGTATGTGTCCGCAACCAAGGTACGTGCCCTTGACCGGAATCGAACCCGGGACCCTTCAGTCCGCAGGCCGAAGCTCCACCCACTGAGCCAAACCGGTCAGGGCCACGGTGGGAGTTTTTGCCAGGCCCTGGCCATCCTGGAGACTAGGGTGTGATGCGTTTGGGGGCTGGCTGTCTGGAGCAAGGCCTGCTGCTTGGCAGGGGCGGCTTACCTGCGACCTTGGAGTTGTATGCCACTCCGACCCCACAGATATTGTTGTTGGCCGCGGCAGAAACTTCCCCTGCACATCGGGTCCCATGGCTGTGGGGCAAAATAAAGACAAATTAGATACAGTTTCAAAAGACTCTGGAAGAGGTTCCTTAAATTCTGTCAATTGGAAGCAATTTGGTTCTTTTCAATGGCTTGGTTAGCCAGAAGCCAGCACTTGGCCCACCCAATTTTCCTTCCGTGTATCCAGCGTCTCCTCCCCCCCCCCCCCCCCCCACTCCAGCCACCTTCTTGACCTTGGCTTATTTCTGACAAAAGGGACTTCTCAGAACATTTCAACCTTGAAATCTGATCTTTACTTTAAAATTTGAAGTATCTTCCTGCACAAAACTCACATGTCTCTGGTTGGGAGAGCTCTGGTTGGAGCACTAGAATTGTGGGCTGGTGCTTAATTTCAAGGCTGGCCCAGCCATTGTGGGGAACGCTGCTTTACCTTTTTGGACCATAGACTCTTTTGAAGATCGAATGCTAGAGTATTCAATGCTACAGATTCCTACGTTCCCCCCGGAATATAAAAAGCATACATGGGCAACATTTCGCATACAGTTTCAAGGGAGTCCACAGAACCTTTGAGGCTGACCAGATTAAGACCCCCAGGCATTGATTAGGTAATCTTTCCAAGGTTTGCCCGGTTTTATAACTCTGAGCAAGCCTCCTTAGGGCTCTTGTTCTAGAATATCCTCTGCAGCACTCACTGTAATTCCATTCGTTTTCTCCCTTTAGCTTGTCCTCTCTCCCTTATATCACGGGTTCCAAATAGTTCTTCCCCTCCTATGTGTACTTCCCCCCTCCTTGAATTGTCCTGGTGACTTGGGTTGACCCATAAAATGCAGGGGAAGGATGATGAACCACTTTTTAAGAAGCCTGGCACCCTGGCCGGTGTGGCTCAGTGTGGGAAACTGTTTATTGCCTTCACTATCTGATAAGCATAGACAGAGAACTCCCCGAACCTCCCCACCCCCCACCCCCAAGGCTGGGTGCCATTGAAGCCCTAGCAAAGCTCGGAGCTAGGCGCCACCTCTGTTTGTCCAGACAGTGGTAGCTGAAACTATTCCCCCATTTATTATTATGTAAATCCTTGCTGATGGGCTAGTCTGCCTGTTAATGGCGGTCACCTGCCTAAGGACTATTCCGGATCAATAAAAGATTGGAGCAGCCTGAGCATGGGTGGAAGTCCCTCTCCTTGAGTTGGACTTGCCCGCCTGGACCTCCAATATTGCAAAATTATCTCGTGTCTTTTTCTCTCATTTGTTGTGCGGCTCCTCTTTCAGATACCGAACCCTACTCCACGCGGGACGTGGAAGGAAACACTCAACAGCTCAGTTTGTTGGGCATTGTCCCATGCACAGAAGAGTTGCTGGCTTGATTCCTAGTTAGGGCACATGCCCGGGTTTTGGGCTAGATCCCCTGTAGGCGGCGTGCAGGAGGCAGCAGATTGATATTTGTTCTCACATCAATGTTTCTCTCTCCCTCTCCCTTCCTCCCTCTCTAAAATAAATAAAAAGAGGCCTGACAACTTCAGCTTCCCTCCGCTGGTGCCACAGGCCCAGAAACCAGGATTTTAAAAAGATTCCCAGGTGATCCTAATGTGCAGCCAAGGTTGAGAACCACTGAGCTAGACTAGCTGCTAGACCACATATGGGTGAGAACACGTGGAGAGAGGGGCCTCCAATGTCCCAATACCTTGGATGATATTCCTGACATGTGAGGGAGCCACATCCCTCCTCCCTTCCAGACCAGCCAGGGCACCCCTGTCAGCAGCTAGTGGAGAGAGACAGGCTGTCCCTGCCCAGGTTACAGGGCTGTGAGCAAATAAATGTTCCTTTTTAAGTTTTGGCATAGTTTGTTAAGAGGCTATAGAGAAGCGAAACAAGCATAAATGCTTAAGTCAGTCAGAATGCCATGTTTAAACCCTACACAGCATTCAAGATGTGGAAGTCACCTGACACCAGTCTTGACCCTGAGAAGCCTATTTTAAAGGTCTGTGAAGCAGCTAAGGGATTAAACGGTCACATTACCAAGTCTGCTGGAACCTTGTGTGCATGGCCTGCAGAAGGGCCAGGGTGGGGGTGGAGCGAGGGCTGGCTTTTCCACTCACTACTCTGACTGTGGTGCAAGTAAGGAAATGTGGGTGCAGGGGTGTCTGGCTACAGGGCCCCAGGAAGCTTTGATTTCTGCAGGGGTGACTAGTGTACTATTTGTGACATCCTCTTGGGGCAAGCAAAGCTACTGCACAAGTCCTTAAAAAATAAAGTATAGACTTAGCCGGTTGCTCAGTGGTTAGACTGTCGGCCTGCAGACTGAAGGGTTCAATTCTGGTCAAGGTCATGTACCTCGGTTGCAGGCTCTATCCCCAGCCTGGTCAGGGTACAACCAATCGATATGAGATCAATGTTTCTCTCTCTCTGTTTCTCCCCCTCCCTTCCACTCTCTCTAAAAATTAATGGAAAAAATATCCTCAGGTGAGGATTAACAATAGCAAAAAGAGTCTATATACATATTATATATATATACACACACACAGTGTACACACACACACACACACACACACACTCACACACATTTTATTTCTTTGTGTGAGTAAAAGTAAATCCTGCCTCCATAAAGGCTGCCTATGTCCTGGACTCTAAATTCCCTTTGACACAAGAATAAAATCTGCATATTGTGTCCAAGTAAGCCCTGAAGTTACTGTAGAAGCTGGCCCTTGTGGTGACAGATCTGTGAAAACTTATCGTGCTGAGCCAACCGCTGTGTCCGTGTCCAAGTTTTCTGTAAATCATGTTGAAAAGGTGCTTAGTTAAGGTGGAACTTGATGGGAGAGTGTTGTGGATGTGCCTTTCATGGCTACTACCTTCTTATTCCAAATGCTGAGAAACTGATAACTAAAATGTTTAAAAACAGCATGAAAGCACACACATATGTATCCATATAAACAAAATGATATCAATATCCCTTTATATTGATTTGCATATATACTTTAAATGTATAAATTGAAGTGTATGTTTATACTTATATCTATTTATATATTCATAATTATATGCTTATATATATCTAACACATACCTATATATTATCTATACACCCACACATTATATACTTAAATATGTACATATATAAAATACAAACCATATATAAAGTGTACGTATGCTTTCTATCGGTGCATAATTTAAAAAATGGAACTTTAATGGATACTGATTAAATGTAACTTGCTTGCTTGCTGTTTCACTCATGCTGAATAAATAATTTTTAAATAAAAGTTTAAAAATCAATGCCATCTCTAATTCGACTGAGCGTGAATTTCCTTTTTGTTTAATAAGCAGCCCTGTTGAGATCTCCTTTCTGAGACCTAAAATGTGCAATCAGGCCTTGCCTGGGCCAATCAGTACTTTCACCAGCATCTGTGAAGAACACAGAGGTACTGATGGAGGCCGTATAGTGTGTGGACCCTGCTCTAGGAGACTCAGGAGCTAGAAGGCCCAACAGCCAGCTGCCACTTACTGGGCGGTTATTCATGACAGGCACTATGCTCAGTGCTTTTCTGGCCTCATCTACTTTAATCCTCATAAGAGGGCTACCTGTAGGTACTGCTCCATTTCACAGATGCCAAAGTTGACTCTTAGAGGTGCTGGCTCCAAGGTGTACAGCAGCGGTTCTCAACCTGTAGGTCGCGACCCCTTTGGCGGTCGAACAACCCTTTCACAGGGGTCGCCTAAAACCATCCTGCATATCAGATATTTACATTAACAGTAGCAACATTACAGTTATGAAGTAGCAACGAAAATAATTTTATGGTTGAGTCACAACATGAGGAACTGTATTTAAAGGGCCAGAAGGTTGAGAACCACTGGTGTACCGCAAGAAGGTGGGTGAGCCAGGTCTGAGACCAATGCTCAATTACTGAACCAACCCTATACCCTCCCACATGGGGATAAGCTCATCTCTACCCTAAAACTGCTCACTAAGGGCTGGAGGACAAATGCATGTGAACTGGCCTGAGCAAATGAAAGACACTGAATGCTTCCTTATCTTTAATTTTGGTCTTTAAGTGGCGAGATGAATGTTGTGGGCTCTCTAGAGGAGCATAGGAGAAGAAACATTTCATTGTTAAATTAGGAGGCACTAATTAATTATAAGCAGCTAGTGGAGGCGTCTTATAATTGTTCAGGACCCCATCTTTTCACAGTCCTGGGCCTTTGTAAGCCCTGTTCCATTGCCTCAAATGCTTTCCCCTCATTCCTGCCTTCCTGATGGTCTCAGGCAATTCTTGCTCCCTGAATGTCAGGAAAATATTTTTCTAAATCCATTTTTGTTTGGACTCTTTGCTTTCTTAAAACATTCAGTAGCTCCTTCTTGCCTCTATAATAAATCATAAGCCTGTCTGAAGTGGAAATGCCTGTAGAGAGTGAGGGACAAAAATGGTTGCTTGATTGACCTCCTTCTAAAGGCAAGTGACCAGAGTCACGGCTGTGTTGCATTACTGCTCTCCTTGTCCATGTCTGTGGCAATGTGATTTTCTTGCTCCTCCCATGAAGAGTGGAGCCTATTTCTCTCTTCCTTGAATCAGGCTGGCCTTGCGACTTGTTTTGGCCAAAAGCATGTGTGGAAATGTTGAGTTTAGCCTTCAAAAGGACTTGCAGCTTCTCCTTCCTCTTGAAACCCTGCCCAGGCACCATGTGGACAAGTCCAGGCTCAACTATTGGATGATTAAAGACATGCAATCCTTTGGGCCTATCTCCTCAGCTGATAGTTACCATCCTCCAGACATGTGAGAGAGGCTGTCCTAAGCCAGCGAGCCCCCGGCCAACCTGCCAGCTGACCATGGATGCACAAGTGAGCCCAGCCATAAAGCTGAGCCCTGTCCAGATCAACAGTCCTGTCTAGCTAATCTATAGATTTGTGAGCAATTGTTAATGCTTATTGTTTCAAGCTACTAAGTTTTGGGATGGTTTTTATATGGCATTACTTGGCAATCGATACCTGATGCAATGGATACACAAGGCTAGAGGGACGACAAATGGTTAACCTGTGGGAGAA